TGCTTGGTGCTCGATGACTGACCGATGGGTCGATCTGCCAGCCCGCTTTGTCATCGTCTTGCTATCGCGGCAGGCAGGACAGCACCTACACGAGAGAGAGGCAGACACACACAACACAGGACGGCCCATTCATCAGTTGCGCAGGAATGGACTCGCCGTCGTTCCCTTACCTTGTCTGTCAATGAGGCAGACACTTAGCGGCGTCCGTCATCCTCAATACGCAGGCAGGCAGGCACCCGCCCGGCCGCACCGCTCTCCTCGTATGACTCCATTCCGTCCTTTCATTTGCTTCGCCGGTCACACCTGGACACAGACACACGGACAGAGGAAAGAGGGAAACCTGTGGATCTCTCTGGTGGTCTGTTTCCGGGGACAGATCTCAGCGGATCGCGAGCTTAGCTTGCAGAGGTCGCTGCAGAAGACAGATCTCCGGACCAAAACCACACGCCTCGCCCGGAAGGTAACACGCAGATCCACTGGCGAAGGAAGCGCTTCATTTCGTCACCTCTCTGCCTTTCTCATTCATGCAGCTTCCTTGCAGCAGACGTCCATCCAGACGGCCTGCTCATCCTGAAACCACAACCAACACAATGCGCGACACTGTCAGGTGACAACAGCAAACAGCGCCGTGCCATCCTTTCCCGCGCGGCATTGTTTCGACCTTTGCTGCTGCCTGCTACCGTCTTGGTGCAGGTACCGCCGTGGCTATCCGGGCCAGCGCGATGGCCAGTCGACGACAATATTGGACTTCTACCTCAACCGCATTGCGTCCACGCCTGACGGCGGCGCCAAGATAGAGGCCATCCTGGCGGATTGTCACGGGGACTACGAGCTGCTCGCGAAGTACCTGTCCGGGTACATTCAGGTGTGTGCGACAGACAGACAGACAGACAGACGCATTTTCATTTCCCGTCACGTCAGTCACTGCAACGAACGGTCGCTGTCTTGTTGTGTGTGTTGTCCGTCAGTGGCTGTTTCCCATCCGTGAGAAGGGCCTGGCTGGCGATGCACCGCCTCTGACCAAACCTGAGGCCGAGTTCATGGCGACGAACGAGTCGGTCAGGGGCAGAGTGCTACGCGCGTACAAGATGATGCTAGGTCAGTCAATCAGTCTCAAAGCGGAGCCCCCCCACCCCACCCCACCCCACCCCACACACGCAGACACGGAAGGGGCTGCCACACACATCCGCACTTTCATCTCCATGCTGTTGGCCGTGTGCTTCGTTCAGACTTTTATGGGTTCCGTCTGGCGTGTGACGAAACTGGTGAGGTCGAGCGTGCCGACGAGTCGCAGTACCCCCGGAGGATCAACTACCTGCTCATGAGGGGCCCATGCGGGAAGCACCAGCTGCACATTACCCGCATCATCAAGTCCCTCGGCGAGCTGGGATATCAGCACTTCCAAAGGCCGCTCGTCGAGACCCTCATCAGCGGTGGGCGGGTGGGTGACGGATACATGGACGTCTGTGTGTGCATGTATTGTGGCTGGGTGCCTGTGTGCGGAGATCTATGATAGATGCCCGGCGCATTACGATGGTTACGGCATCGTGCCTCTCCGCATGGCAAAAAAATCGGCCACGCGATTGTGGGTGCATCTTGTTAGGTACGGTAGACATACACACACACACATGCACCACCCAAAGACCCCCACTGACGCGTGTGTGCGATTCTCAGGGACGATAATGAACATCAGGACCTCTGCCGCATGGTCTTCCACAAGTATCGAGAGGACATACGCGGGCCGGGAGACGACTTCTCACTGACAGGTACACAGACGGACACACAGACACGTACGACCCACCAATCCGATACGTGGCCTCCCCTCCTCTGTTCTTCTCCCTGTCGCCACCAACCATCCGTCAGTGGCCGCCCCGCCCACTCCTTTGCCCACACCACACGACACCACGAGCAGCAAAGCGGTCGGCCTGCTCGACGGCCTCCCTGTGTATGCCGCCGCCAATGGGTGCTTCAAGGTGCGGGTCGATGGCGAGATGCGCACACTGCCTGCTGCAGCAAAGCCCAAGATCGTGATGTTTGTGGACGAGCAACAGCGTCCGGCGCAGCACAAACCAACCATGCAGATCATCGTCAAGGCCCTTACTGGTAAAGGCCGCATCCGGTCGGACACACACAATCGCTCTGTGACCTCGTCATTTGTTCGTCTTTGTATCTTTGGCAATGTATGTATCCAGGCAATGTTTTTACGCTGTGTGTCGCCCCGTCTGACACCATCGAGGACGTCAAGGCCGACATACAGCACCGTGAGGGCACCCCGCCCTTCCAGCAGCTGCTGATGTTCGGAGGACGGACGGTTGGAGAACTGGTAGGGCCGGAGAACGAACGGAGCTTGGCGTCCTACGGCATCCAGGACAATGACATGCTGCGCCTCGTGGAGTTCATGCAGATCTTCGTCAAGGGCCTGGATGGTAGCACATCAATCAAGTGTGTACCCAAGCTAAACAATGCACATAAATGCACAGACTGAGAAGTTCTCTTCCACTTAATTTAGCACAGGCGAGCGGGTTGGCCTTTCGCACACTGACACCCGCTGGCCTCGCACCAGCTGCCGGCACATCACTGAGACGGACACACACACACACACACACACGCTCACACCGTCGGTTGATGGCGTGTCTGGGGGGTTTATGCATGCATTCTTACATTCGGCGAGTGTGTCGTCGCTGGCGAGTATCTGCGCGTCGCGTGTCCGGCTTTCCTGGTGCGTGCTCTCTTTCTTTGACGAATGAATCGATAGGAGAACCGACAAGCAGACAGCCATGGTGAGGGAGGGAGGGAGGGAGGGAGGGAGATGAGAGCACATACATACACACATACACACATAGACGCCTGTGCACGTGAGGGCCTTGGGGGATCAATCAGTGTGGAAAGCGGACGTCACGTCACTAAGGGCCCCTTACTTAATCCACAAGTGCTGATCCCCGAGGCAGGCACTACGTGAAGTCGGATCAGGCCCGTGGTAGTCAGTACGTTGGGCCAAGTCAGGGCAAAGAAAGACATTAGACACACTGACGGTTCAATTCAGTACCGCTTAGCTAACTCATGGATACGGACATACAGGCAGGCAGACAGGCCTATTATGGTGTCTGTCTGTCTTTCTGTCTGTGTCGAGACGCAATCGGCCAACCTACCGGCCGGCCAGCCATCGATGACTGCCTGCCGTGCAATCCGCACCAACTAGAGAGAGGGAAAAGAAAAGAACCCCCCTACACATCAAGCAAGACAGCCTCTCCTCCCTGCGTTCTTTCCCGCCAGCTGCAGCAACCCCCGCAGCCGTGCCTTGGCCTCCTCAACAGGCTGCCTGTCACCACCTGGGGCCAGATAGACCCGGAATTCATCGACATTCACCAGGGGCGCCGCCGCTCTCGTATCGTCGAGGTCCTCATTCTCGACCTTGCCGCCCTCCTGCCCGTCTCTTTCCTCGCCACCCGGCGCCCTTGTGGCCTCCACCGGCAGCTCGGTCTCGCCGGTGGGCTCCACTTGCCCGAGAGGCTCCTCACCTCGTTGCTGCTCCTGCGTCTTGGCCTTCTGCTTGGCCCTCAGCGCAGCAAGCAGTTGTTCAATGAGCATTGAGGTGAGCTGGAGAAAGGAAACATATGTGTGTGCATGCATGCTCCGCTGTTGGCGTGTCCTTGTCTGTTTCCTCACCTTTTGCCGTTGCCCGCCGCACTGGTCAAGCGCCTCCCCTCCGCTGCAGTAGGTTGCCGCAACCTTGAGCGACGACTGAAACATGAACACATGGGTGTGTCTGTTGCATCTCTGTGCGTGTGTGTGTGTTGCCCGTACCCGCACCTTCTTCGCTTTAACCTTCAGTATCCCCAGCAGCCTTTTTTTGCGCAACGCCTTCAGGCACGAACGAGTCGATTCGCTCAACAGCCTCTTGCGCTTGCGCAGATCCTGCATCGCCTGGTGCGCGTTGGTTGTGGTTTCAGGATGAGCAGGCCGTCTGGATGGACGTCTGCTGCAAGGAAGCTGCATGAATGAGAAAGGCAGAGAGGTGACGAAATGAAGCGCTTCCTTCGCCAGTGGATCTGCGTGTTACCTGCCGGGCGAGGCGTGTGGTTTTGGTGCGGAGATCTGTCTTCTGCAGCGACCGCTGCAAGCTAAGCTCGCGATCCGCTGAGATCTGTCCCCGGAAACAGACCACCAGAGAGATCCACAGGTTTCCCTCTTTCCTCTGTCCGTGTGTCTGTGTCCAGGTGTGACCAACGAAGCAAATGAAAGGACGGAATGGAGTCATACGAGGAAAGCGGTGCGGCCGGGCGGGTGCCTGCCTACCTGCCGTATTGAGGATGACGGACGCCGCTAAGTGTCTGCCTCATTGACAGACAAGGTAAGGGAACGACGGCGAGTCCATTCCTGCGCAACTGATGAATGGGCCGTCCTGTGTTGTGTGTGTCTGCCTCTCTCTCGTGTAGGTGCTGTCCTGCCCGCCGCGATTGCAAGACGATGACAAAGTGGGCTGGCAGATCGACCCATCGGTCAGTCATCGAGCACCAAGCAGGGGTGTTTCCGATAGCCTTCAGGGCCGGGGCTGGCTGCCCCGGCGCTGATTGATCTCCTGGTACCTGTGTCTGTCCGTCTGTCTGTCTATCTATCTGAGCAGGTGGCTGGCTGGCTGTATCTGTGTGTTGGAGTGTGGAGAGCAGAGCATGTGCCCGTCAACAGACCGGCGGACGGACGGCGGCTTCATTACCTGGTGACTTACTGAGGATGGGGACACCTCGGCCACCCGAACGAATCACACGCGCATCATGTCTGCAGCATTGAGGCGGATGCGCCTTCTCAGCCCTTCGGCCGTCGTTTCCTCGGCTCATCCATGCAGGCGGCTCGCTTTTTTCTGATCCGTGTGGATGGATGGATGGATGGATGGATGGCTTGCAATTGCGGATAGTTGGTCGGCTCGCGACTGCCTTATCGACCCCAAAATCTCAGCATGCTAAAGAGGAACAACAGACAGACCGGGCAGCAGCAGGTCAGTCACTTGAACCACGCAACCGAGAGAGAGAGAGAGAGAGAGGGAGGGCAAGAGAATGCAGGCAGCAAGCAGCGACCGATCGATCGCGTTGCTTCCCCTCTGTTTGTGTGTCAGGTGGTGGTGGATCGGCCGTGCTCGTCTGTCGATGAGCGATTCCCTCTCACGATGGCTGCCGTGCGGCAGCTGCTGAGGCGATTTGGACTGGAAGACAACACGGCCGGCCCGCTGCCGTGACTGACTGGCAGTTCGGTGGGTGGATGGTCTGGACGTGTGTACGTCGGAAGAAGAGAGATGGGGTGAGAGAGGGGGCTGCTCGGTCTGTTGGGGGTGCTGTCACATCCGAATCGACGGACTGCGATTCAAGTGGAAGACGTATGCGTATTGCACACAATGCATTGATGGATAAATTGGATATGGACACCCTCTTGCAGCAGTCCATCCGTCCATCCGTTCCTCGCATGACAAGCAGTTGCACATAGAAAACGCACTCTGTGGAGGCGTGAGTGACGCGTGAAGAAGCGAGTCATACCTTCGATGCATCTCCTTTCCTCATTCCCTACAACACATGCAGCACCTCGAGGTCATCAGCTATAGCATGGTACCCCACCGCACCAGCCGTCATCCGGCAGTGCTGACCGCAGGCACGGATGTCGGCAGTCGGTTTATCACAGCCATGACCCAGCGACAGACACCCTCCCTCCCTCCCCGCCACATACACATACTGCTTCTCTCGGTCGATGTCGATCTTGGTGGGCTGGGGGAAACTGCCGGCCAGCGAGAAGTGCCACAGATCACAGTCATAGGCGTTCCAGTCCGTGGGGTCGTCGGGCAGCTCCAGACCGGCACTGATGAAGGCGCCGTACTTGAACTTGCCCTTGGGGACGACGAACACCAGGCCCCTTTTGTCGCCGACACAACGCAGCATATCGCCGTAGGTGGTTCCGTGCACGGAGGCCCTGATGCACACACAGTCATACACAGTGCTTATTTGGGTGTGTGTCTCGCCTGCATGCGTACCGGTAGATGGACTGCAGCTTCACCCCGTGATCCCCCATCAGTCCGACAAGGCCGTAGTATTCCTGCCGAGTCAGCGACGTGCCCTCTGGCAGACTCACCTGTCCAACCACACACACACAAGCACGGCAGCACATGGTGCGTCAGGGCTGTCTGTGGGATTGTTCTTACCCATTGCATGCGCACCGCCAGCAGTGAGGTCACGGCCTTCTGGGCTAAGTAGTTGGGACGGACGTCAGCCTCTGCAGTCTCCACCCTGACCGATCGACGCACAGACGAAGGAAGAGGGAAGGATTGAGGCCATTCACACTGGCCATAGGCGTCCCCTCCATGGCTGTCTTTACCTGCACTCGGAGCACTTGGCAGCACGACGACCATAGGGGTGATGGCGCACTAGGTTTCTGACACACTGCAAGACAGCACAACAGACAGTGCAGTGGACAGCCGTGCAGTCTTGGTTCGCGTGAGCCACGCACCTTGGCACAGAATGTGTGTACCGAGAGAAAACACAGCATGTACACACAGCCACACAGACGGGCGGTGAGGCCATCCATCCACTGCTGTCATTCGTTCACCGCATCTGAGCTGGTCAGGCGCCTTGTCGCCGTCCGGTTGGTATTCCTCCTTACACACCACACACTCAAGCAAATCACCATCACCACCAAGACCAGCACCGGCAGAGGAGGCCGCCATTTCCATACACCAACCTGCCCGATGAATGAAACAAACCCATTCACGTCAATGCCCCCATCTCACCTGCAGCTGGTGTGTCCTCCGTGTCTATGCTATCGCTCTCGATGAGTTACGCTCCTCCGACAGTCCGCCTCAGATCTGCATTGTCTAGCAAATCCGTATGGTCAGGAGGGTCTGTTGACCTCACTGCAGCGCTCACCGGACCTCATGCAGCGCCACGAAAGACGCCAATCACTCCACAGGTCTTTCGTGTTTGGGAAGGTGGTACCTGCATGCGTGTTGGTTGTGGTTTTCAGGAGCAGGCCGCCTGGATGGACGTCTGCTGCAGGAAGCTGCCTGAATGGAGAAAGGCAGAGAGGTGACGAAATGAAGCGCTTCCGTCGCCAGTGGATCTGCGTCTTACCTGCCGGGCGAGGCGTGTGGTTTTGGTGCGGATCTTCGGCTCTTCAACTTCTCTTCGTTTGAGCTCGCACTGCGATCCAGAGCTTCTCCACCCCCTTCTTTTTCCGCTTGTGGGACCACCGGGGCACTCACTGACCATTAGCCCATTCAGATCTACCGTCAGTTCGGCAGATCCATCGCATCCATCTCCGTCCGCATTCATCTCATCTGCCTTGGTGCCTCCTGACCATCGGTGCGTCCTCCACACGGCACCATGACGACTCAGGAGTTCTACTACTACGAGACGGGTCGTTACGACTGGCCCAAGTGGCTGCCTCTGCCGCCCAAGGGTGACCGGGGCTGCATGGACACGACGAGTGACATGTTTGGCAAGTACGAGGACGGCACTCTGATGTGGAGCGAGTGGCGCGTCAAGCACCTGGGTGAGTTCGAGCGGGACAAGGTGCTGCGTCACATCTTCCGCAAGAACTTCAAGCACTACGGGGTGCGGCCGGGGTGGATCCAGGACCTCTACGACGAGTACTGGGACGACACCAAGCCGGGCGGCCACGAGCGGACGCCGTACGCCATCCACGGGCTGTGGGAGGAGCTCTGCTTCCTGCTCTACCGCCCCAAGCGCGACAAGACCGACCAGATGATGGCCCGGCTGCCCAAGGTCAAGGAGGAGTACGAGAGGATGATGGCCAAGCGCATGGAGCGCACCAAGTGGCTTAAGAAGATCTTCATCGACAAGAAGCTCTGCCAGCCGGCGCGCTGCACGGGCGTGGGGTTCATGGACCCCCGGATGATCGAGCAGTGGCACCAGCACTGGCGGTGCATCTACGAGTACGCCTGGACGTGCATCAGGAGCTACGTGGACACTCGTACGGACGGCAAGAGGGAGATGGACTACTGGAACCCGGAATGGTACCCCGAGATGGTCGACTGGTTCAGCACTCACAACGACTCCTACTGGTCATTCCCTGAAGGCGCATACGCCTGTAAGTGCTCACCACACACACACACACACACACAGCCGTCCTTCTCTCACCTCTCCCCTCTCTGTCTGTCCATCAGGCGCTGATATGCCGTACCACGACATGGTCATGTTCACCGGGCAGGCCGGCTTCACCAACGCCGACTCGGGCCACACCAACGAGGCCAACGACGTGCAGAGCGACATATCGCGCGAGCCCGACTTTTCCGACTTCGAGATGCACGACGAGCCCTTCTGGGACTCCAAGGTCAGGGCCGAGGACGTCGAGACCGACATCGCCATGACAGATCCGTGGAATACCGACAGTGAGGAGGACCGCGAGTGGAAGGCCGAGAGGAGGGCGCGCAAGAAGAGGAAGAAAAACGAGGACGAGCTGCCCTCGGACTTCGAGCTCGACGGCAGGATGGATGACAACTCCGTCAAGCTCCTCCACCCGCTCTGCCAGTTCGCCAACTGGGGCTCCTGGCGACAGGCCTACAAGGAATACCAATGTGAGTGAGCTGAGGGGACACTCACACACAAACACACGGAAGGGATGGATGCACCATTCACCTGTGTGTGCGTGTGCGTGTCGTCGGTTGGTCAGGTTGTCGGTGCGGCAGCTCCATCCAGCCCTTCAAGTGCACCCTCAGCAACGCCCAGAACTTCATGTCGCACGAGTGCCACGTGTGCCGGACCACCCGCGTGGTGTGGCCCCACCTGGGCCCCATGGCGCCGCGCAACACGCCCCTCCCCGCCCCCTACCCCCCTCCCTCCAGACCCTACAACACCAACGCCGACCCTCTGCGGATCATGTGGGACATGGACGGCTGCATCGAGGGCACCAACCGCTGGTGCTACCACATGATGGCGGGGCTGGGCTTCTTCGAAGATGGCGAGGAGAAGGAGGAGGTCGTGCGGCAGAGCTTCCTGCAGGAGGGGAGGATGAAGAAGAGCGACTGGTTCAAGGACAAGTTCCGCTACGCCTACCCCGACTACATGCCACGCTGGTACGGCGACACCTATGGCTGCATCGACAACAGACTCGCCGACAGAGACCGACAGAGGGCAGCCATGGCTGCGGAACAGGGCAGCGAACAGGAAGAGGAGGACGAGCAAGAGGGAGGGGCAGAGGAGGGCCAGGAGCAGGCCGAGCACGGCCAAGAACTCGGCAGTGGCAACGGCAGTGGCCGGGGTGTGGAGGAAGAGGAGAGCAGCAGCAGCAGCAGCAGCAGCAGTGGCAGCAGCAGCAGCGGTAGCAGCAGTTCGTCGTCCGAGCCGCCCGAGGGCGATAGCGGGGAGGGGGCTGCGCAGCCCATGCCCGAGGAGGTGCAGATCTGGCCGACGATGAGCGAGAGTCTGCTCACGAGTCTGGAGGAGGGCTTCGACCCCCAGAAGGGCTGGATGCACTACCTCCTGCAAGAGGGCCAGCAGCCACCGCCCCAGCAACCACCAGTCATCAAGCAAGAGCCCATGGAGGAGGGCGAGCAGCCCCAGCCCCACCCACAGCCACCTGCTGGCCCGTCACTTTTGCCACTGCCTCCCCAGCCCCTGCAGCAGCCTGCCCAGCCACCCCAACAACCATCAGAGCCATCCCAGCCACCGGCAGGCCCCTGGCCGCCACAGCAGCCACCACCACCGCCCCAGCAACCACCACAGTCGGCTGCTCCCGCTGCACCAGCAGCAGCTGCTACTCCTGCACCCGCCCCTGAGGTGCCTGAGGTGCCTGAGATGCCTGTGGTCAAGCAAGAGGAGGGCAGTGAAGAGGTCTCGCTCGAGGGTCTCCCCATCCTTACCGACGAGATGCTCGACGCTGCTGTGCGGGAGGCCACAAAGGAGGATTCGAGCGTCGAGGACCAGCGGCAGATGGCTGCTCCCGAGCCTGCAGAGGCCGCGGGCGAAGTCGAGACGGCAGAGCAGCAGCAAGAGGGTGAGGGTGCGGGCGAGGGCGAGCAGAAGGAAGAGCTGGACGAGTTGGACCATCAGCAGCGGGGCCAGGAGGAGGACATCCAGCGTCACTGCATGAGTCCGAGCGTGGCCAAGTACGTCTTCAAGGACGGCCCGCCCGACCAGCTGGCCCTCATCACCAAACACGGCTACGGCGGCGACTTGTTCGTCCCCTGTCAGGAGCACTCATCGCCCGACGACATCAGCGACTACGAGTTCATCCCACCCAACCCGCCCACCGCCAAGCGCGGCGTCAAGCGCCCCACACAGTACTGCGCCGGACTGGTGGCCATCGACGGTCAAAAGTACGAGAATAAGGTGGGGAAGCCGCGGTGGCACAGGGACGAGTGGAGGGGCCCTTGGGCGGTGCACGGCGACAAGGCTGAGGTGCAGCGGCGGTACGTGGACAACCAGAACTTTCGCCGCAAGATGGAGAGGACCGCCAGTGTGGTCAAGGGCGACGCCCGGGAGCGGGGGTTCGACCCGAGCCCATACGCCGACGACCTGGTGCCCCTTCCGCCCCCTCCCTCCGACCGCAAGCTGCCCAAGGACCGGCAGATCATCACAGGCTACCCCGGCACCGCCTACACGACCGAGGACCTGCTGCAGTTCAAGCAGAACACGCGCGTGACGGTGCGGCAGTCGCTGAGTGAGAAGGAGGACAAGGCACTAACCGAGCGGGACCTCTATAGCGGCGTGCAGACGTGCAAAGGATACGACGACTGCAATGGGTACGCCGGCAGCTGGCTGCCCTGGCAGATGGCCTGGAACAGCGGCTACCAGTGGCGCTGGGACCAGGGGGAGAAAGACACGGCCGAGCGGAAGAAGAACGAGACCCCAGCGCACCTCAAGAGCATGACCAAGTTCCAGCGGCGCAAGAAGGCCAATCCAGAAAGCGTGAAGCACCACCCTCTGTGGGGCAAGGTGGTGGGCGTGCCGTTTGACGACCCGCTGGATGACCTGCCTCACCCTGACCTGGACCCCGCCCGGCAGCCGCCCGAGGACGACGACAAGCCCAAGTTCATCCCTCCTCGGCCGAGGACGGCCTACCACGTGGTGACCAACCCGGGCCCCATTTATGCCACCGTCGACGGGCAGCACCCCGACGTGCACAAGTGGCGGGGGGAGCGGTTCAAGGGCCCCACCTACAGCCCCGACTACCCACCCAAGATCTCCAAGGCAGAGTACGCCGTCCGCCGCAATGAGTACTTCAGGACGGGCGCCTTCACTGCCATGGCACAGAGGAAGGTCCTGCGTGAGCTGGACGGACACATGGCCGACACAGAGGAGGTGGGCGGGGGGAGGCCTGTGAGGCGGCAGAGGCGGACGCAGCGTGCGAGTTACCCGCGTTTTTACAAGGAGGAGGGGGAGCGGAAGAAGAAGGGCACCGGTGGGGGGCGGCAGCACGTCAAGGCCCAAACCGACTTTCTGGTCAACGACGAGAAGGACCGGGGCCGCGCACAGATGCGCGACGCCCCTCCAGAGGTAGAGAAAGAACCACAGTACAACAGACAGACAGACAGACAGACACATGGATGGATGGATGGATTGGTGTGTGTGTGTGTGTGTGTGTAGGTTGACGAGTATTGGGGTCAGCAGTCGGTGACGTGTGCGCCTCACGTAATCGAGGAGGAGTGGATGTACATGCCCGAGTACTGGAGGAGGTGGCGCGAGTGGGGCCACCCGGCCTGCCCCGTGACGCTCTGCAGAGGCCTCTCCTACCCCATACTCTCACACCCATTCATCATCGACGACAAATACGAACAATACAGATACGTAAGCAAGCCATCTGGGGAAGTGGCACAGAGAGCAAAGAGGGAGGCAGGGGAGGGAGGGACTGATGCGCTGCACCGTGTGTTGTGTTGTGCTGTGTTGTGTTGTGTTGTGTTGTGTGTGGGTCAGATCTGTGAGGAGTGCCCGAGGTGCGGCCATCCCCGCATGCGATTCGCCACCAAACAGGTGCGTATGCAGACACACACACACACACACAGAGACAGGCGCATATATTCCACGCATCGACGGATGCACTGATGGATGGATGAATGTGATGTGATGTCCTTCCTTGACTGGTCGGTCGGTCAGTGTCGCGGGATGGATGAGGGCATGACGGTCCTCTACGAGTGCCCACTATGCGAGTACAGATTCGTCCAAAACGGTACGTACGTACGTGACCAACCAACACACCAAGGAGGCAGACAGACAGACAGGCAGGCAACAGCTGCAGGGTGACCAAGGACACATGGCGGGTCGGCTGTCGGCTGTTTGATGTGCAGATTGATCGATCGGTCCATCGGCGATGAGTGGACGGGTGCAGCGTGTGTGTGGTGGGCTTTTCTGTGATGGTTTGTGTTTGCCTTTGTCACTCTGATGGCCATAACGACTCATTCGCTCCATGTGGAGTGTTGGGAATACGACACGGACACCTTTGGTTCGTCCATTGCAATGATGGATCCATCCATTCGTCGCGACCCATCCATCACACACACAAGCAAGCCACATCAAAGGAAGAGGACATCCGCATAGTACAGCTCGAATTGACGTCACATCGTACGTATCCACATAAACACATATGAGTCAAGCAGAAGGGACAAGGACCTTGATACTCACTCACTCACTCACTAACGTCGAAGCAATCACAGGCAAGCAACAGCAGCCCGTCGCGCGCGGTCCACGTCATGGTTTGCTCAACGCGCGTCCACCAAACCCCTCGGGCCGATCGAAACCCTAACCCTAACCGGCTCCCAGCTAGCTGGGATCTCCCCTTGGTGAGGGGAGGGAGTGAGGGAGTGGACGGCCATCATTGGCAGAGATGGCTCATCTGAGTGGATCTTCACCAGGGACGGGGCGGAGAGCACCTCACGGAAGGCGGCGCAAGGCACGCTGTTGTCTGCCGAGCGTAGCAAGAAGGTTGGCCGATCTGCGGGTGCGGGTGCGGGCGTTCTACAACAGGAGGCGGCGAGCTGAGCGTCAGCAAGCCCGTGCCGACTTGGAAGTGCAGATGGCCGCGGCTGATGCCTGCCATAGCGAGGCCGAGAGGCAGCAGAAATTGGTGAGTGAGTGGACACCTTTCTTTCAAGTCGACTCGCCATTGTGATTCCGTTCTGTCTGCTGTCGGTATGTATGTTTCGCTGCAGGAAGATCTGTCGGCCGAGGTGACAGGCCAGATGATCAGAAGCAGCCTCCACAGAGCTAAAGGAAGGGTGAGGCGACCAGCATCAATCAACACATTCCTTGTCTTTCACCGGTGGCCACTGACTTTGCTGTTGACCCTCAGGCCGAGTCGATCGTGTGTCATGTCAGCAGACATCTGAAGGATTTGGACAAGCGGCTGGCGATCGTGGAGAAGGATCGGCGCGCGAGGTTCAAGGAGGTGAGGCGGCTGCTGCCGGGCATCAGCAACGTCAAGCTCCTGCGGCGGGATCACCAGCACCTGGAGGAAATGAGGAAGCAGCAGCAGGTGGGTGACAGGCGATGGATGGATGGACAACACACCACACACACGTGTGGTGGATGGTTTGCTGTTCTGTTCTTGCTGCTGCTGTTGATCAGATGTTCCGATCCTTCATGCATGGGGGTGTGGAGGTGCTCCGTGACTGTGCCGTCAAGAAGAACATACAGGACGTCAGGAAGCTCCTGGAGGCCTATAACACCATCAAAGGGCGACTCGACAGCGTCGACGCCAAGTGGGACTACTGGAAGCGCTTCAAGGCAAGCCACACTCCACCCGCAAAAAGACAGACAGGCAGCTATCAGTGAGTGGTTCTGTGTCGATATTGTGCGTGGCTGGTGTATCAGGGTTGCCCTCCAAGTCTGTTTGACGTGCCCGAGGTGGTCTTCTACAAGTTCATCGGACCCTCGCTAGGTGGGTGCGCGCAGACGTACCAAAAGGCACGGGCAAATATAGGCTGGTCGGTCTGTGTGCAGGCGTCGTTCCGATGATCGGCAGCCTGGGTCGTGCGCACCCCATCTTCCACGTCATGACTCGCGACCCCACCATGCACCCGGAAGCTACCATTGCGAGCGAGAGGTTCCTCTTCCCCAAAGCCAAGGCCATCGCCGCATGGACGCCCACCTTCGCTGCGGTCACCAAGGCGACCATCACGACGCCGCACACCCACTCGCTCAGCATCCTCGTCGAGGGCTTGTTCGCCACGCAAATCGAGTATCTGTGGGCTGACACGGGGCGTGTGGGCTCCGCCAAGGAGACAGTGCCCTTCTTCCCCAAGGACAAGGGAGTCAGCAAGAAAGAGGAGGCCGCTCCACACAAACGCAACGAAAAGCCAGTGCCCTTTCCCAAACTCAAGGTCAGCAGGGAGGGAGGGGGGAGGGAGGGAGGGAGGGAGAAAAGCTTATGGGGGCCACACGTCTGTCTGTCCGTCTGTCTGTCTGTCCGTGTGTGTGTCAGGTCGTGCACGTTGGCGGGTTGTGGGTGTGGGTCGCATATCGCAGGAACTGGCAGCTCACGTAAGCCAACACAGGCAGGGCAGGCACGTCACTGGGATGCCCACTGTCTCTCGCTGCTCGCGTGTTGGTTGCTCTTGTGCGTGTGTCTGTCCGTCTGACAGGGCCCTCGAGAAGCTGTCGATGCGTGACACGCTCATGACGGTCTCCGTCCCCACGTGGCGAAGGGGCAAGAACAAGCTCAAGTTCCGCAAGGGACGGATCCAGTACACCCCCGAGGAGGTCCGCGCCGCCGAGAGGCACACCACCTGGTGGGTCAGGAACTCCGGATTCGTCGACATCAAACTCATCAGCAACCAGAATCAACTTGTAACCACACACGCACGCACACAGCCAGCCGGCGGCCAGATCACCTTCCCGTTGTCGTCTCTGCGTGTATCGCTCAGTGGGCCCAGCGCAAGTTTCCTGGCTGGAGCCTGGCGGTATGCACCAGCCGGAAGTCCACCGTGGCACCTGCCCGACCCGCTCAGCTGACGTGTTTGTGTGTGTGGTGTGTGTCAGGATGCGACCACCATCGTCGACTTCTTCGACCCCGACCGCTACGGCAAGTCGCCCAAGCTGTACTCCATCGGCGGTGTGGTGTTCCGCGGCTCACACGAGAGCAGGGGCGAGCTCTACAACAGCTGGCTCCACGAGGGGGCTCAGCCGCGCATCGTCAAGCTGCAGGCCACACTCAGGATCGACAAACTGACGTCGATGCACGTCCGGGTGAGGCGGGAGCAGACAGACAGACAGCATCCCACTCGATTTGTGCCATGCCATGGATCAGTGTGCGTGTGTGTCCTGCAATGCCATCCCAGGAGCTGCACACGTTCCGAACCAATGTGCTAGCTACCGATGCCGTAGAGGACTACAGCGGCAGCGAGCTGGCCCTCTCGGTGAGGCGCATGGTCCACTTCAACAACGAGGAATTCGACACAGTGGCACCCACCGTCAGGGTCCTCGCATCATACGCAACCAAGGTGAGTTGGGGGGAGGTGGTGGGGGCCCTTAGGCGATCAACTCAATGAATGCATTTGTGACAATGCAATGCAGGCCATCTTCCCCACCTCGCTGTTGGGGAGTGAGCAGCCCCCCATGCCGACGGAGTTCTTCGACCTCATCCGCTCCCTCAGATTCTCGCGCGCCTCCGTGCTGTGCCTGGAGCACTCGCCCACCAGGGAGGCCCCCTTCCCCGAGCCGCCCGAGTCTCTCATGACCAGGATGTTCCCCGCCGTCAAGGTGCTCAACTTGGCGGACCCCGGCCCGTTCGACGTGGGCAAGGATGCGGTGCACAAGGCAGTCAGGACACTCACCCCACAGCTGAGGGAGATTGTCTTTAGCGTCAGGAAGGCACAGCCAGAGGGTGAGGACGGGGCAGGCAGGCGGCTGGCTCGGCTGGCCCATTTGGCCGTCCCCTCGTTTCTGGCCGATGCACCTGTGCACGGAGGTCGCCTTTTTCACGCGAGTGGGTGTGTGGGGAAGAAGGAGGGCTCGCTGTTTGTGGTGCACAGGACAGGCCAACCAGATCAGCAGCAGCAGCAGCGGGGGATGCAGCAAGAGGGGGAAGAGGCAGGCAGCACCATCGTCGATAGCGTCTGTCGCATGACGCTGCAGTGCAGCGGCTTCGATGTGTTCGGTGTCCAGGAGCTCGCCGTCGACGTGCTGGGGGCCATCCAGGCTCACCCACGCCTCGACACGATCCTGCTGGAGCACACGACGAAGCCCCTGCCCATCGAGATTGGAGCGCAGCAGCTGGATGGCACCATGCACTTTTTCGACGCCTTTAGTGACTGCTCGGATGACGACAATGCCCTGTCAGAGTCAGACACACAGGCGACAGACAAAAGAGAGGCGGCACACAGGGAGGCCCTGCTCGCTGCCCTAGAGTCACGTGTCGGAGGGGGAGGGGGAGAGGGCGAGGGGCAGGGGCGTGAGGTGTCGTTTGTGTTCTCGTGTCGCCGTGATGTGCCTGAGGGCCTGTGTGTTGTGCGCTGCCCCTTTGCCATCGACGATGGGTTCCTCGTGCGGCTGCGCACGCAGGGCGTCAGCGGGGAGGAGCGCATCAAGGACGCCAGGGTCACATTTTTTGATGACCTGAGATACGGAGAAGGTACGTGGGTGAACCCACACGACACACACAAGCGAGGAACGGCGTGCATGTCCCTTGCCTTGCCTTGGCTGTTGATGTGTTCGTTGTCCAGATGCTCGTCCGGCCAAGCGTTGTCGCGTTGATGAGGATGTGGACATGGCCACTGAGGAGCAACGCCCATCCATCACACAAGCCAACATCCAGGTGAGCGAGCCGTAGCTAGCTAGCTACAGGCAGGCAGCTGTCTGAGCGGGGCCAGCCACATGTGCCCATCTGTCTGTCTGTCTGTCTGTCTGTCTGTGCGTGCGTGTCTTGTCGATCGAGCAGGAGACGCTGGACCGCATCCGGCTGATCCGCCGCCAGAGGGCAAAAAATGGTGCGTCAGTAGATAGACAGCACAGTCACTCACTCACGCGCCCACCCTCCCGTGTCTGTCTGGGTGTGGTCTCCTGTGTGTTTGTTTGTTTGCCAGGCGGAATTATCGATGCGGCCGGCCTTGCCCGGTGTCTGTGGACGTACCTCAGGCAGGCCGACGAGGCGGCACGCTACAAAGGCCCGGGACTCGACCTCTAGGCCGTGTCTGTTTACGTACGGATGGAGTGCTGCTGTAGCTAGATGGGGGCAGCGTGTAGCGTAGGAGAGAGAGAGGACGGGGGCTAGATGTGGTAGGTAGGTAGTTTGGTTGAGTGTGGCCTCTGAGGACAACTGCCAGAGCGCCACCGTCTGTCGCCCGCCGATTTTTGATGGCACGCCATCCATCCATTCCATGGGTGGGTGGCTGACGGGCTGACGGGCTGACGTACTTGTCTTGACGAGTCTGTCGTGTACGGATGTGCGTGTGCGTGTGGTGGGTGGATGGATGGACTGTCTTTCCGTTTGTTGGGCACCCTCCCTCCCCTTGTCAGTCAGAAGGAATTAACATTACCTATGGGTGGTCTGTGAATTGCAGTGAGCCTTGTTGCGTCTTGTCAGTCATGGTGCCCTTCCCGCCAGCACGGGGCCGATGGACGTTGCCAGCAACACCGCTGGCAGCCTGCATTGGCCCTTGCTGGAGTGAAGGCCACGCAGGCAGGAGAAGAGACGAGACGAGACGAATAAGGGATGTGTACAGTAGAGAGAATGCGGGGAGCTTTTTTCGCTCTGATGATCTTTGGTGGATGTCAACATGATCAATCATGATGTGGCGGCGGGTGATGGGAACCGAGCAAGGCAGGGGGCTTTTTCTGCCTCATCTCTGATGCGATCAAAGATCAGCGTCCGTCCGTCACGGACATGGACAAGACAGATTTTGGTGCGAAGTTGTGGCGCTGCTGGCTCAGCCTTGGCTGCTTACTCGCCCAGGTATCCACGCATACGTACACGTGCCCACATGAGTGACCGGATCGGTGATGACAGCCGTGACGTGACGTTGCGTATGTGTGTGTGTGTGTTGTGTATGTTTGTATGCGACCGACTTGTCCAATGGACTAATGAACGAGTCGCTGCAAAGGTACACCGACGAAGGAACCCATGCATGTGAGGGCCATGCCCTAGCCAATGCGTAAAACCGTTGCCGGGAGCTCAAGTATTCAGCAGACAGCGAGGAGCCTGGATCTTGCGTGTGCTGCGTCCGCGGCCGTCTATCTAGTTGTCTCTGCCGCGTTGTTGGCGATGGAGATCGAGCCTTCCCACCCCAAGGAAGAGCCACCGGCGGAGCCTGCTGCTGCGGATGCCCCCAAGAAGAGGAAACCGCGAAGCAAGCCGGAGCGTGTCGTGCTCTTGCGTGAAGCGTCGCAGTCCTGCGTGTTGATGCTCAACAAGCAAGGCCTTCTGGTGGGCAAAACCGACCTGCCCCCTCTCTCTCTGTCTGAGTGATGGTGCGCTGGTGTTGCTACGATTGATCAGGTGGTGTGTGGCGTGGTGGAGAAGCTCAAGGAAGCGAGAGACCTCCGCGACCGCATCGACCAGGTCATGGAGGCCGTGGGAGCTGATGCCAGCATAGACATGGACGTGGCGGAGGCCCACCGGGTGTCGGAGGATGAGCTACCGGACTGCACTATTTCGGAGGAGCACGCCGTCGAGGTGGCCAAGAAAATGATCAAGGCGCTCCTCGGCACCAACCACGGCAGCACCACCAGGGGGGGTTCTGTGAGGCTGGGGTGGGACGCCAAGCAGCTGGGCTTCAAGCTCAAGTGGACGGGGCCGCTTCCCACCACACCCAAGTCCAAGTCCGCTGACGACGGCGGCGACGACAACACCGCTGACGGAGCTGCCAGCAGCGAGAACAAGCAGCCGGACCGCGACTGCCTTATCTTCGTCTTCCCTGCCCAGGACAGATACAGCGAGGAGGTCTTCTTTCGTGAAGTGACGATGGTCACCCCCCTGACCTACGCGAGGCTCGTCAAGGCCCTCGACCGTGCCCTGGAGGTCCGCGCCGTGCTGCTGGGAGCCGACAGCGGGCGCCGCAAGAGGAGGGCGGCGCCAAAGGCCAAAGGCAAGGCCAAGGCCAAGGTCGCCGGCGAGAAGCGCAAAAGGGAGGAGTCTCAGCCGCCCCCCCCACCCCCAAGCATGGCCGCAATGGAGGTCAGTCAGTCAGCACAGAGGCGACGATTCACGCTGTGTGTACATTCATTGACACGTGTGTGTGTGTGTGTGTGTGCAGGAGATGATTGCGGACGGCAGCATCATAGGGCTGCAGGCTGGCGCTCTGAAGGCGTTCGCGCGTGCTCAGCACCTCCAGGTGACCCACACATCCATCCATCCATCCGTCCATCCACGCAGCTTACAGACAGGGAGGGTATCGATGCACCACACTTCTTCTGCTGTGCTGCTGTGTCTGTCGGTCAGGTGACAGGCACCAAGAAGGTCCTCATCGAGCGCATCAAGGACCAGCTGCCCTTTATCAAGGGCCAGGGCACGCACCAGAAGACGTCAGCAGGGTCTGACGGGAGCCAGTCGATGCCGAAGGCTGACGGCCAGCAGGGAGGCTGGGAGTGAAGAATGGTTGCTCTTCGGTGGTGTGAGTGATTTGACAAAGAGACGGACATGTGTGTGAGTGAGATTGCTGCCATGGTTTTGGTGGTGGTGCCTGTACAGTGGGTCAGAGAGTCGGCGGGCAGAGTGCGTGTAGGCCTTGCTCATGGCGACAGGTAGACAGACTGATTGGCTGATTGAGCCATTCACTGAGACTCCCACCGACGCAGAGCTGATGTATGTCATTTGTGGTCATTTCTTCTTCGCAAGAGCATTGCAGTCAGTCAGTCCCTAGGCAACGAACGACTGCAGAGCCGTCTCAAAACCAATCCATCACAGCCTCTCCTCTACACCAGCGCCGGCTTCCTGTACATCTATCTGTATCTCTTCCACTCTCGCTCACTATACAGACAGACAGAGGTCGATCAATGGACACAAAAACTGTCACCCCATCCATCCATCCATCCATCGACAGGCAGCCGCCCAACTCCTCTGCCCCTCTGCCCCTCTACCCTTCATTTCTCTCAGAGCGCTGTACACCACTCCCTCACCATGGCACTGTACCAGTCAGTGCCTCCAACTCCCTCCCTCAGCCTCTCACTCTCCCCCACTGCTGAGGGCCCTCAGCCGTGGCAGCCCCCGGCTCCTCCAGGCACTCGTCAGCCGGCCGATCGTCTCACTGGGCACCTCATGCACCCGCACCACCACCATCTCTATCAGCCGCCGCACTCCATCCATCCCCTCCTCACGCGGGTCCACCACCAGCAGCACAGGCCACAACACAGCCGCCAGCTCGCTCGCACTCACCGGGTGCTCCCGCTCCCATTGTCGAGATGGGTGTGCGAAGGTGTCTGAGGCTGTGAGGTCCAACGAGCCGACCCACGCACCCACGGCCGTGAGGAGGCCGTGCTGGGGGCCGGTGGGGGAGACGGCGGGGGCTGCTTGGAGGGTGTCTGCCTCGTGTGTGAGGTATTGGGGTGATGAGAGGTCGACGATGCGTGGGAGGATTTTGGCCCAATCGCGGAACGTCAAGGTGGACACACTGACATACATCATGAAAAGCCCGAGTGAGTGTTGACGTGTTGATTGTATGTGTCTTGATTAATCCGCTTACTGAGGTGTCATGGCTGCCATGAACGACTCGGCCCACCCCTGCCATACGTAAGACACGAACGGCCAGGCAGCCCAGCCCGCATCAGTGCACAGCACAGCCGATGAGAGCCCCCTGTTTGTTGTGTCTGCGAGCCTTACTTGGTCGATGAGACCGAAATAGTCCAGGCAGTCGAGCACACCAGGCAATCTGTCACCCCTGCACACGCACGATGGGTCACAAAACGTCTTTCTCCCAATGTGTGAGTGTAGTGTACCTGACGAGGGTCGGCGAGGCCTTCAGCGTATCAGCAGCCAGCCGGAACAGCTCAAACGACGGAAGCCTACACACAACAAAACAAAACAAAACAAAACAAAAGATGCAAATCCCCGCCCAAGACGCCTCTGCATTGGTTGCACACAACGCACCTGGTGGGGTCTCCGCCGGTCACGCTGAGGCTGACGGCGATCCTGGGCAGGTATGAGATGAACACCCCCGCCCTGCCCGCACTCTGCACCTCTGGCCACCGCTCCACCGCCTGCATGGCGATGCCGTCCACCAGCGACTCGGCAAGAGGGCCTGAGCACCGGCCGTACGCCACCAGCAGGCCACTCAGCTCCTGCAGGATAGGGAGGGAGGGCGGGAGAGCACAGCACAGCACAGGAGTGTGTGAGGTGGGAAGGTCTGGCTGGCCAGCGTCGAGGCGTGTGCGAACCTGTATTGTGAAGTGTGGCAGGATGGGCAGGGCGATCTGGGCCATCCGGTCGGCGCGCTCGCCAGTCCCAAGCATGGAACACTGCACCCAACCCAACAGACACACACGACAACCATGGTCAGTCAGTTCATGTCGTTGTGTCTCACTCACTCCCTCCCTCACCTTGTGCAGCGTCCACGCGAGGTTGGCGAGGACGCTGGCGTCCGACTCCTTCCTCTTGCAGCGCTCGAGGATCGCATCAGCCAGCTGATCCAACACACAACCATACCTGCACACCCAACCAGACACACACACACACACACACACACCGCTGCCGTGTCCGCCGCCCTAGAGTGGCTGCCAGTCTATGGTGCTGACTGTGTGGTGTCGAGATCCCTCAGCGCGCCCAGTGACTGCGAGAGGTCATCATCACCACAGGCGCCGGCACTCACGTCCGCCACGAGCCGGTTGAAGTACGCCTGGGGAAGAAGCGAAAGATGACACCTGCATAATGTGGCTGCATTCTGCTCCTCTGTCAGATTACTGACTGACTTTAAGGAAGTCGTGTTGGTGGTAGCCCACGACAGTGCAGGTGCGGGCGAGCAGCGCCAAGGCGCGGGGGGACGTGTCCTGCCACACACACACACACACACATATACGACGGACGGACGGACGGCATGGACGTGTACTCGACCACTCACCTTGAGTTGCATGGCCTTGGTGGCTCTGAAGCAGACGATCTGGCCGATGCTCTCATCCCACAGGTCCAGACGGACCAGCCCGTACAGCAGAAAGATCAAATCCTACACGCACACGCACACGCACACACACACACACACACACAGGCCCGCACTCGCATGATTGATGTGTGGACTCTTGTAGCCCGTGCGGCTCACCGTGATGGCGTATACGGCCAGGTCTCTCCGCACTTTGGCCACAAGACCACGCAGAAGGCTCTCGGGGCGCATCCCGCCCTGACGACGAGCATGCACCAGAATTGCGCCCGGTTTGGGTAACACACTAAGGTGGCTTTACCTTTGCCAGTGCATCCACGAGCTGGAGCACATCTCTGGGCGAGAACTCACTCAGCGGCCGGCGGTCCAGCTCAGCCAACACCAACCTGAACGAATCCCAGACCAACACAACACAAATGGAGCCAATGCCGCGCTCGCCATGATCCATCCATCCATCCATCCACCATCCACCACCTTACGTGATCATTTGGGCGTAGTATCGGTGCAGGTCGAGGGTGACATAGGACCACAGCAGCAGGCACAGCGTCCAGGTCGTGTACTCGTCCAGCTGGCTCTGCTCACACACTGCAGCCGCCAGAGTGCTGAACAGCCGGTCGTCGGCCACCCCCGAGAAGGCGAACGCCCACGCAATGAGGCCCTGCTGGGCGGGCTTGAGGGGCATGGGGCCACCACCGTTGTCCTGCAGCTGTCCGCTGCTCTCCACCACCAGGTCAGCCAACAGGCGGAAGAACTCCTCGTCCTAAACACATGACCCACACGCGAATGGGTGTTTCGGTGGCATGGTGGGCGTTGTGTCCACCCTTCTTGGTAACCTTACCTTCCACCTGAGGCATGCGAGGCCCCATGCGATCATGACCAGCTGGTGCAGCTCATATGCGGCCATGTTGGCGCACACGCGGGGCAGCACACCGGAGATCAACCCACTGTCCAACAGGGACAGCTGCAGGCAACACAACAGCCACAGCCACAGCCACAAGAACCACAGCACACGATAGATGCAGACCAAGGCGTGGCGTGGTTCAAGGGATGGGGTGCCTGGCTGAGCTGACCTTTCCATAGGCCCAGATGATGTATGGGAGGTGCTTCAGCTCCAAGTCCTGAAGCCGCCGCCGCAGCTCACTCGACGCCCTGTGGGTCAGAGAACCACACCACAATACGCGATACCTCTTCTTCCCTCCCTCCCTCCCTCCCTCTGTCTGTTTTATCGTCTCGCCCACGTTTTGAAGAATCTGAGGTCGTCGAGTTGCACATCAGCCATGGTGCGGAAGAGCACCACCAGGTGGTCAGTCGCCATCCGACGCAGATGGGGACCGCACGCACCCGCCAGACACCCGTACAGCTCACGATCCTTCCACCCTGCAGCTCACGCAGGTCCGCACCAACCACGTCGATGTCGATGTGTGGGCGGGTGTTCGGTGCGCGTCATGTGTGGCAATTGTTCTACTCACCGGCGGCCGCGAACGCCCAGGTGATGTCCTTGATGTCCACAGGGGCGATGGAACCCGGCGACTCAGAGAGGCGATGCTTCACTTCACTCGCCACCCCACTGAGGGGAAACACAAACGGGCAAGAGTGCAGGTAAACGGCGAGTGTCTGTCGCCTTCTCTCCTTAATTACCTGAGCAGTTTGTGGATGGCGTGGGGGTATCGCTTGTCGGCTGGCCGGGGGAGCGGCTCTGGACGCCTGGGGGCTGACGCCCACAAGCTGATACAACACACACACATACAAGGACACAGGCATCGATCAACTACCCACCCAGAGCCACCTCTCTCCCCTGCTCCCGCTAACCTCATCCCTGATCCGTCATCAATGAGGGTCGGCGAGGTCCAGTGGGCCTGCTCCCGGCCGTCGTGTTGGTTGCCGCCGTATTGCCGCACCTCGGGTATGTCGATGGCCTTGGAGTATGCCTTGGTGAGCGTTACCAGGCCGTAGGGCGCCATGTCGGGCAAAAGTGCCGAGGCATGCTCGCTGGCCAGGTCAAAGAGCTCCTCACACCTAGCAATCGGACGATGAACGCAGAGAGAGAGTGTGGCTTTTTTTGGGGTGTGTGAGTGGGTGCTGGCTCACTGGCTCCTCTCGGGCGTACCATATTTTGGCTGTGGAGAATCCCCACAGAAGAGATGACAGGGCTTGCGCAGGGAAGACCTGCATCCAAACACACACATACACACACACAGAAAGGCCAATCCATCCAGCGACGCATCAACACGCACCACGAGACGTCACAGCATGGAGCATGCAGGTCTCCGTGTCTGTCTAAACACAGTATCGTCCCTCAGCTCTCATAATCCGATAGAATCACGGGCATCTGTGCCCCCTTCACCCCCTCTCGAGGGCCACAGGTCAGCACAGACAAATCGGCGACCTCAACATGTGTAAGGTCTCATCACCGGGCACACACCACATCCACACCAACCCACCCCACCTACCTACATCCCATCTGCCCACCTGGTTCCGCCGCAGTCGCAGGATGGCCTCGTGTGCGATGCTGTCGAACACTCGGTCGCGGAGAGCGGGCGCCAGCGCACCTTCCTTGGTGAAGTGTCCGAAGGCCCATGCGATGTTGGCCAGCTGCCGGGGCTCAAACTCACTGTCGGCCACCGACAGCAGATCGATGACGCGACCACCGAGGGCCTCTAGCAGCTCCTGAATGACACACAGAGAGGTGGAGGGGGGTAAGGGGTAAGGGGTGGTGATGCTCACTTTGTGCTATCGTCAGTACCTTGCTGTGTGTGTTGGTCTTGGCGATGACCCAGGCTAGGTTCGCCAAGCCCTGAGGCACCATGCCGTCGATGTGCAGATGGCAGGCACCAAACAGCAGCTCCTCAAACATGGCCGAGGGGGGCAACTGCGATCAAACGACACCGCACACACAGACGTCCACAAGTGCACAGATCGGTGTGCCTGTGGATGAGTGGGTGCGTCCGTGGTGCTACCTGCAGTGAGGCCATTGACCAGGCGAGATTGACAGCTGACCGCGCATCCCACCAGCAGCGGTCGATCGCCTGTGAGCAAACCACACATACATTCACATGTCGTGTGTGGACGTGCCCTGTCGCCTCGCCATTCTGCCTGTCGTCTCCCCCCGCCCTGCTGCTCACGACGTCCAGTCGTTCCATCAGCAGCTGGAACACCCCCGACTCCAGCAACTGGCCCGTTGTCGGGTTCTCGGGCAGCTGGTCCACTGACACGCCCCTCGACCCATTGCGCGCCACAATGGCCGGCGTCGGTGCTTCCATGCCAGCTGCCGTGAGAGAGCGCACCTCCTGCTCGAGCGCTGACTCGCCACCCTCCCTGGCTGGATGACGGTGTTGGTGGTCGGTGGTGTGCCGGACTGTCGGGCTCTTCTTCTTGATGCTGAAGCCTTTGTCCTTCTGCATCTTGGCCAACCTGACGCATGTGCGCAGGGGAAGAAGAAAGTGGCTTTCTTCGTTTGTTTCCTTTGTTGTGATGCTTTCTTTCTTTGGATGACCGGCTGACTGACCCCACCGACCGACCTGTGTACTGCTGTAATGGCGTTGACATCGTTGAAGTACTCCAGGTGCTTCTCGACCAAACGCAGCACCTTCACTCACACAGCACAACACACCACACCACACCACACCATACCCGACGTGCAGCTTTCGCCTGCCATTGACTGGGCCCACCACCCTTACTTACCTCTTTGGGCCGCTGGGCAGCCACCAGCCTCTTCTGGATCTTGGCGTGCGCCTCAAAGGCCACATCCTTCCCTCGCTCCCTCCTCTCCATCTGACCCCTCTCCCGCTCCCTCCTCCTCTCATAGGCGTGCATGCGGCTGCCCGTCACATGCCCAATGCCCTCCACCACACTGCCGATGTCCAGCACCACTCCACCACCCCGATGATCTGCTGGCACTGTAGCCGTCGCCGTGAGAGCGTCGAGGGACTTTGTCCGCTCAGACACGGCCGAGCAGCGAACCGCCCTCTCTGTCGGCCGCCTGCGCCGCCGCCGCGCGTGGATGATCATGGGATGGGGGAGAAGGAGGAAGAGAGAGGGCGGCGGTCTGGCCGTGCGGGTGCCTCTTCTGGGGTGCAGGAGGGCGGCTGACGAGACGAGTGTGTGGAGGACGAAGATGAGCACCACAGAGAGGGCGACGATGTGGCGCAGAACCATCAATGCTGCAACAACGAGCTCCTTTGCTCTCGGATGCTACCGTCGTGGCTCAGATCCCAAGCAACTTCATTCTCAGACTGACCAGGGGAGGCTGTCTTGGCATTCATCCCCTCCTTGTGCTTTTCATCTCGCAGTTCTAAGCTCGCAATCGGCATTCCGTGAAACGGGCTTCCGGCCCGGCCTCGCCCCGCGCATACTCGGAGGAGCCTCGCCCACAGCCATCTGCCGCGGGAGACCAACCTCCAACACCCCTGGCGCCCGTCCAAGCGCCCAGCGGGTCGGGGGGATCACG